TAAACCAGGCATGTTTCCTGCATCCGGCGTGGCAGAGCTCTGAAGTGAAATGAGATTTGTGTAGCGACCTGCTCGCAGGGGAGCAGCCCCTAAAAGCAGCGCCCTGGGAAAGCCAAGTTTGCCCCAGTCGGATTTGCGGCTCTTGCTTTTGGAAGCTGCATAACCACAGGCAGATCTCCAGCCTTGGGGTTTTATTTCAAAGTCAAAACAATAAAATTAGAAGCCAAAAAAGCTTCCAGACGCTGGAAGTTTCTTAACCTGGTTAAAAAAAAATAAAAAAATAAAGGCAGGGGGGACTGGGATCCAGCACCCACAGCTGCTAAAACCAGGCCACCCTGACAGCAGGAGACATGAGATGCTTCAGTCCCTCAATACAAACAAACCTCTTGAAGAAAATATGGGTATTAGTAAGAATTACAGTGTAAAAATTATTAGATTGTTACAACACATAGCGGGCATAGCTGCACTATACGCTACACCCTTCTGCTGCCGCACAATCACAAGATTTAAAAATGAAAACAAATATTAAACTTAGAAAAAAAAATTGCATCCTCCATCGAAACGTTGCCCCCAGCACCCAGTGCGAGAGCCACACGAGAGGCGACGCGGTCCGACACGAGACGGACGAGCCGCATCCCGCAAACGAGCCGCCCCTTCCGTGGTAACTTCTGCGAAAGCCACGGGGGGCTGCCAACCTCGCTTAGTGCCTGCTGCTAGAGGCTCGAGGGGGGCACTTACCTCCTCCTGAGCCTCCGCGAGAGCGAGCGGCCAGGACAGGTCCTCCTTGGAGAGGTCGCCCTTGCTCATCCTCTTGTTCCTGAGCGACGGCAATCCCAGTTTCCCAGCATCTGCATGAGGAAAAGTCAAAGCAGCGTCACCCTCAGCGTGCCGTTCTGGACGTATCTCACCATATCTCTGCACGCGACTCTGCTCAGAGGAGAGACCGAAACCTCCTCTTGGAGGAACGCGGCCGAGAGCGGAAGAGAAGTGGTACCTTCGAACCTCCCCATCATGGTACTGCTGACACGGGCAGTCCCAAATCACATCTCCAGCAAATCAAAGACTTGCTCTAAAGACTGCAAAGGGTTTCAATAGTAAGTGTGGGGCTTGCTCTCTGGGTTTTTTTTGTTTGTTTGTTTAAGAAAACCTTTTTGTTTCAGCGAGATTAGAGGAATAATGAAACCATACGCCTGCTGCTCAGGTCTTGCCCCCAATTCATTTTAAGCACCTTATGAAAGAGGCAAGGTCTGCCGTTTGCAAGCAGACTCACTCCAGCAGACCAGTGCATGGCAAAGAGCAGAACGCATCTTCCCAAATCCTTCCTAAACTTAAAGGTACGAAGGCCAAAGTCAACCTCCAGGCACGGACAGTCCAAGCTTTGTTTCAATTTCTCTTACTGCAACTAGAGATCTTCCCATAACCTCGTGAACCTAGGACCAAGGCTTGGGGAAAATAACGAGAGCATCACAAGACCCATGACACAACCCCTGAAGCTGGCAGCTCTCCTCGTGTGCGTACCGATTCCCCCTCTGTCCCCTTGCTCTTGCTGTGGTTAATTAAATGAGTAAGGGGCAGAGCGAGCTTCACACGTCATGCAGCTTGGCGCACAGTTTCCATAACTGCTGTTATGTTATTATTTAAGATGTATGAGCAACTCACATCGTTGCCTTGGACTTAAGGCCAGCAGAAGTTTGTGGTTTAGGGTGTGAATTTAAGCAGCACAAGTGAAATACATTATCTTCACCAAATGCCAGAAGGCAAAGTACCCCTGCCTCATTGCCCAGCCCTGCTCCGAGCCAAACCCGGCAGCAAAACTCCCTTAGTCTTCAGTGAGCAGAGAGCGAGAGCGAGTTTCTCTTGGCAGAGATGAGACCCCCGCCACAGCCTTAGCTGGCTCTTCAGTACGACGCTTCCTCGGCCCGGAAGTGCCACAGGAAAGCAGAGCGGCACCCGAGGAAATTCCCCGCCACGGCCGCAACGCGGCAAGCCCACCGCACCAGGAAGCGGGTCTCACCAGCACCGCACGGCCATCGGGAGGACAACCGGGAAACCTGGCCCAGCTCAGGCACGGCAAGGCAAGACTCACCTGGAGCATCGGGCTTCCCGTTCGCTTCCAGAACAAGGGAAGGTTTGTCCTTAGCAGGATCAGCGCAGTCTCCGTTGATGAGGATCAGCTCTGCCCTGCAGTCTGCCTCCTCCCTGCCATGGTTCTTGTCCTTTTTCATGCTAGCCTATGCAGGCAATGAGGAGAAAGGAAATTTAACCATCCAGAAAGCCCCAGGAAAAGCAAACCAGGTTGTCAAAGCTATTCAAGCAAGCCACAACTGATCACTCCCCTAGCAGCAATCCTAAAGCACCCAGGGAAGCAAACACGAGGGTCCGGGCTGAGTAAGGACCATGTGCTAATGTGAACCTGGACATGGCCTTCCCGCATTCGAGGCCCTGAAGATTCACCAGCTTCAGTGAACAAAGGTCCCAGGCTCAAACCTGCTTGTTCATCCTTGAGGGAAACAGGACATTTCTCCAAGCACAGCCTCCCCCCAGCACAGCCCATAAAGCGCTCTTCTTAGACTTTAACTGAGCCTAGCCTAACTCCCGTTGAGCTGTCCCAGCGTGGCCTGGGACCCCTCCCAGGGGGGAGCTGCAGCTCTCAGCCACCCAGGAGCAACACGGGCACGTTCCTACCCCAGAGCCTCACCAGCCGCTTGCCCCGCCACGCTCCTGCCGTCCTGCTGATGCCCTGCAACCCCAGCAGCTGGTGAGCTGCAGACAGCTAGCCACGTGGGGCAAAGTCCTGCAGCAAGTTAAACTGCCCTGAAGGCCAAAGGGGCCAGGCTGCAACAGGCGCTGAGCGAGAGAGATGCAGAATCTGTCTTGGGAGATGACGTTTGTTCCGACACCAAAAAAGCAGCAGAACCCCCTCCCCGTGGGAAGGGGCGCTGC